ATGGTAAACGTTTTGGAATAACCTTTTTATCCTAGAATCCTACTAGAAGCTTTCCTTAATTAGTCGAATTGCTGTTGTTTCGTCAACCTCTGAGGCTAATTAGTGAATTTATATTATCACCACGCAATATCGCGTGGTGGCACCCTATAATCTATCAGAGTTGACATGCCTTGAGGTCGGATACAATCTATTCTAGTCCACAACCATATTCAGGTGCGTCATTATGGATCACTTGAGTAAGCCATCGAGAAAATCTATCCTTGAAGTTCGAAACTTAGTAACGGACACACGAAACCGGTATAGGCTCTTGCCCAAACACCTTGTCTACGAGACGTTTCTTCCAGGTTGCGGCGAAGGCAACGTCAAGAGCCTTTGAAAGAGTCATGTAGAGTCACATGCGGACCTAATCATTCCAACATGACAATCTTGGGGAGACGGACCTTAGGACCACGCGGCGTCGCGCGCGGCGATTCGCAAATACAGCATGCTTGCAATGGAGCGCACACTCGCGATAAACTCATTGCATTATTGAACTGTATTCGCTTCAGTTTTCGGCCACGCTCTCCGTTCTGAAAGGATGGATTGTCATAAGCGTTGAATTTTGAATTATTTGCATAACTAAAGTAACTACAGCAGTTATGGTGCAGAGAAACCTACACACATTCTGTTCGCGTGTTAGTTAAGCTCGCGTGTTCACGTGTTTCGTGTTGTGTTTCTAAGCATTCACTGTCATAATTCTTTCTGAACAGCGTGCTCTCAAGAGGCTATTCTGATTGTCGCAGTGCTGAGGCAGGACGGACTGTCCGGCTGAAAAATGGCACCGGAATGTCACTTTAGCGATAACAAAACCATGGCGAGCGCGTGCCATCGCCACCGTACGAGATATTTGCAGTTGCCGCGCGCGACGCCGCATGATCCTCCCATCACAAGCCCGTAGTGGAGCGCAACCGGTGGCCCTTTTTCCATCAGTAATGTCATCCCGAGCCCGCTGCAAATGGTGGAAAATCTGATCTGTCTGCGCCCAAGCTATGTTCCCATCAGACGTCTTACCGTTTGGAGGGATCATGCATGAGCCGATCGACTTTCCAAAGCTATTGGGTTAGGTCATAAGTAACGCCGTTTTTTCTGATTTTGAATTTTGCGCGAAAGATGAAATGTTTCGCTCCTAAGTTTTGCACAGTTTGATAGAGAATTCATTACTTTGTAAAAATGAGAGTTCAATTCTTCTGAGGGTTCTATGTCCATTAATTTTCAAGTGGTGTGAGTGGGGCGTCAAATCGACAGAAATGACCATTTTCGACACCTCTTCCTTTTTGCATTCAATCGGTGCAGTGCTTTTTACAAGAGCTTGACGTGCTCTGAATGCTTCGAAGATTTTAATTTTAACCTCGTAGGCAGACCTGTCCCGAATGCATGAGTTTGCCTGGAAGCTTACTAAATCAGCTTATTCACCATCACTTGATACGAGATAATGGGTTATCAGTAGAAATCATGGAAGGATTCTACAGTCTCATTCAGTGTCACCATTTCTCAATGGGAGAGGTTAAGAAGCTTTATGTATGGGTTCCGCAACCATTACCTTCCAAGAGGGCGCCAGGTGCAATGCGTATTTACGAAGTCTAGTTCTGAATCGCTTGAACAACGCGTATGTACTGCTATGAGACAGGATTGTGACTGGCTGTAACTGCACACGGGCTAGCCAAGGTTTTGAGTGAATCCTGGTCTTCGGAGAGCTGTTCGATTCATCAAATTATCGGAGCATGTTTTTCATCCTCACAGAGAAGGTCGAGCCACCCACGTAATAGGGTTACTCTCCTTTTGATTATAATATCCCCTAAATTCCTCGATTAAGCGCAAAAAGATGCTCTCGAAACTCCAGCTCTTCTTTATGTCAGCTTGACACTCATTGTCGAGGCTCCAGAATTTATCTCGGATTTCTCTGCTAGATCGTTTCGTCGTAAGAACAACTGATTTTATTCACACAGAAGACGCTGCAAAACCCCGCTTTTAATCATCTTAATCAGTGGTGCGGTCTCAGGACGCACAAGGACTTGAGCGCGCTCAGGAGTATTATTCGCATCCTTTCCTGTATTCCTGCCTGAATCGGATCATCTCGTTGGTAGAAGCAGACCGTCCGGGAAGCGGGCCGCACTCAATCCCCTCTTGATACGGCACCAGAGTAATTGTCGACGTATCCACTAAATTTTGAGAAAAGAGCGTCGTCGCTGACTGATCAACCAGCTGAGTGGGCGATTGATCACGCTCGGCTGACCGATGGCAGAACCAAGAAAGTCTCATACCCGAGAAGAAATATTGGAAGAGATCCCCAGAAGAGTCCCGTTTGGACTACCAGGTCTGTAGCGGCCGCGGATGCCTTTTCTCTCCGCTTTCGCGTGCATCAATGCAAAAGGGGAAGTGAATTGACAAGAGAATGTATAAAATCAATTGCTCACTGTAGCAGCGTTCAGACTTCGCAATGGCTGCCCTTTCATCGCGCGTTCGACGCGATCGATGCAGTTGAAAGTATGTGCATCGATCGCGTCGATCGCGCGACCGAAGCGCTCGTGTCGCGAAGTCTGAGCGCTGCCTTATTGTTAGCTGGTAATCTTATTGAGTGAAAGTTATTTCAATATTTGTGTCTATGATGTTGTCGTAGGAGTTGATCTTGCTGTCATTAGTAGTTTTTAGAACCTTATACATTTATGTTACCCAATATGGCCACAAAAGGGCAACAAGAAAAGAATTTTTATTTATCAGATGAATCGGGATCGAGTATCAACAGTACTGGGCTAAAATACTGAGGTTTAAATACATGAGAGGTGGGAACTATTCAAGCGTTTCGTACTGTCAATTTGAGGCCTGCTTTCCAACCATTTTGAGAGACCGTGGAACAGTTTTCAGAGACTGAATATTTTGAAATGGAACTATAGAGTACCTAGGTAATTTGCGACGCACTCTTCTGTTCCCAGCACTCGATGCATCAAACCAAAGTCGAAGATGATCACATCATAGGCCATGTACATCTCCTTGAACACGAAACTTAAAATGAAGGCAGCTCTGATATTTCGATCTCATAAATTGCTTCGTTTACACTCCAACTTCAAAACTGAAATAAATTTCCGGTTTCAAGTTGATTGAACATTAAATTCTTCACTCATTCGGAAGGGAGATAAGTCTGCTTGAGCTCGTGTGAAAGGTTCAAGAGTCGCTCAAAGACCAGCTTTGGCTGAATTTCCCCGAGGCAACCCGGAATGCTCGCGAAGATCCTATAAAAATAACCTGAGTGAGCAGAAGAATAGTTGCAGATGGTGCCTTATAAAGAATGTCAAAAGATCGAGAAATTTGAGGGTTGTGAATATTAGTGTTTGGGATTCATAAACACAAAAATCAGAGATCACTTTGCAGCCCCTCGTCATCGAATGATTTCTCACCTCAATGGTCGCGTTAGCGGATATGCCTGAACGACACAGAAAGACGTCTTGATGTTTGTAAATTGAAAACACATGCTAAAAAAGTATTCTGACATCATTTCAAATGTCAAGAAAATAGTTGAGTTATCCTACCTGAAATAGAGAAGCCAACGAAACCGTCAGCTGGAACAAGGCGCAAACGGTTGCCAGAGGTCGATTGGGAATTCGAAGATAACAGATGCGTGTCTCAGGCTCCTCGATGAACACACACCATAGTAATCGCATCTGAAAACTGCATGATACCTCTACAGCGCCGACTCAACTCATGAAGACGAAGGCGAAGTGCTGACGTACAGCCGCCTCGTGTTCGGAAGTTTCAGGCTCGGCGGCTTGGCTATCTGCTTTGCCGGTGGGCCTTTTTTCAGAAGAACATTGACGAGGGAGGTCCTTCACGTTAAGGAGCCCACTTTGCAAACAGCTTGTTGATTGTTGTAGAGGTCCATGTGAGACCAAAAAATCTGGCCTATTTTCGCTGCGTGCTTTTGGAATGCCAAGAAAGGGCGAAAAATGCTTCGAGTTCTTAAAAAATGTACTGTAATGGTTCCTTCGAATTTCCCTTACAAGAGTGTTGCCTTGTTAGTGACCGCTGCAGAAGCAGTTAGTTCCCTGTGTGATCTCACTCACCTACACAATGAGCACAACTCGGACCTCTTGGCTTTAGCCGGGAAAGAATGGCATTTCAGTAAATGTGTGGGCAACGATACAAACGATATGACACTTCGCGAGATAAAACCAGTTTCATTTTGAAGGGTCACACAGCATTGCGCCTTAGATTGCTATCAGGGCATTTCTTCGGCGCTGTTTATCGACGAAGGGGGGCATTCTGCTTTTCAATAAAGAATCTTTGCTAAAGCTCATCCTAGGTGACACTTTTAGGATCGTGGTCTAGTACGAGCTGCTCCAGCTTACAAGCGTTCACTAAGTTTTTACTCAGAGTTGAGATTTGTATAACCGGAACCGAGGGAATTTAATCATAATACCAAAATCCCCCGCCGTACGAACAGAAGAGCGCTCGCCGTCTTTCCTTTCTGATGCCCGCGAAGTCGTGACCCGATCAGTCTAATAGGAGAGCCAACTGTCAGGCTGAGAATAAGTTCGTTTATAATTTCCCTTTCTTTAAATGTCACCTGGAAGGATTTGTTCTTGGCTTTTTTGAGAAAATAGCAAAATCATTCATCTCAAGTAGGAGGCTTCGTTTCTGCTCACACAAAGGCCTGTGCTCTGATCGTCTTTTTTGTCGAGTCTATTTTTGTAATTACTTTTCAGCACTCAGAGGCTTGAAAAATCTGACCTAATGGGGGGAAGGAGCAGCATTTTCGAAATTGTTTTTTTCGGAGAGCCAAAAGCTGTGGAGGCAGGCTTAGATTGCTGCACGTCTCAGACAGCATACTGCGGTCCCTGAAGACCTCGTCATTCGAGCTATCACAAGAAATGCTGGTTGTGGGCAAAAAAGTCCGTGCACCCGCAGCGAGAGTCGAACCCAGCACCTCACGCTTCTCCGGCGCGATGCGTCTACCGTTACGCTCTGGCAGAGTCCTGCCGCGACTCCACAGGGCCTATTCACGCTCTCAGCTTAAAACAGGCTATGCCGTAGCTTAATAGGCAGCTCTACACTAACTACGTTTAACTGGTGAATCCAGGTCAGCGGCTCCGTAGATCGTTGGAACAGATAATCCCGACAATGGAACCCCGAGGAGCCGAAGCTCTTTACAATAGTTTTTGAAGTCGTTTTTGTTTAGATAACTGCTGTTTTACGAAGCGTGAGGTGCGGGTTCGACTCCCGCCTGGGGCACGACTTTTGCCCATAACTCAGCATTCTTGTGATAACTTTCGGAACGCGTACTGCGGCGTTAAACAGCAGTTATCATAACAAAACAGCTTCAAAAATCTCATTCGAGCTTTTGAAGTGCGGTTCTGACGACTTGTGCAATATGCGCTCTGGCATTGTGGTGAAGGATCCTGCCTGATGGGGTGGAATAGCCTTTTTCACAGTTGGGTTATAAACTCCTTATTGGCAGTGGCACTCCTTTCAGGCGATGCACAGTATTCAAATGATATTTCCATTTCAGGATTTATTGGTCAATCACAATGTATAGTTTGTAACATTGCAATTTGTCGGGGGCGGCGAGCGCAGCGCGGCACGAGCTCGCGTCCACCGCCTTGCTCTACCAATGGTGATCGAGCAATGATCGATGTAGGAAGGAATCAGCCACTGGTGGGAAGGCCGCAGGTGGGAACCGCTGATTGCGACCCGACAGGTCGCGGTGATATAAACTGTAACAATCGTAAGAAGGCAACTCAGGATGATCTTATTGATTGACTCTGATTTATAATAGTAGTGAAGTTAAATTGGTGGAAGACACTGCATACCATACTAAAATAATTAGTTAATCATAATCAAATTGAAGCACATCAGATATCATACAATACTATGGATTCAGTGCAGTAGTTGATGTCAGAGGTGGCTCCACATCCAGGATGAACCAAAAGGAGAACTTGAGACTCCTTAGTTGAACTCAAAAGGTTTTCCACTGCTGGGCGTGTCCTCAACATCAGAGTCGCCACTCTTAAGTTTTGCAAATAATTTTCGCGCTTTACGACACCTTTTCCGTAGACCCTGCAAATGTCTGGGGCTGTCTCGGCAGCTTTTCGGCCTCGATGGAAATCGACGAAGAGCAGGTGTAGAAAATATTGGTTTTCTCTCGGCATATTCCATTTCCAAGAATATAACAAAAAACATTATACAAAGAAAACGAGCAGCACGCTGATCATACATAGAGTCACGGAGCAAAAATCGCTGTAAAAAAAGAATAAAATAAAGGCTACGAATTCACTCCTTAATCTAGAAACCTGAAGCCTGCGATAGGTTGAAGACCCTGTGAGCTGCCAAATAGATATTGACACTGTTGGGCCTACCTGAATAACTGTATATCTGAAGTAATTATAACTATGTTTCTTATGAGTCCACATCATCTGAACCAACCAAACCGTCTAGCAAGGTTGTATTGACGGAAAATTTCAATTTCTTCAATGTACTGTCATTGATCAAGTGGTACCAGTAATGGCAGCAGGCCTGTCACGGTGTCACGGCCTGACTCTGTCACGTACGGGCGATTGGGAGATCGCACATCACTTAAATCAGTCAGGCTTTTCCCTCCGAAGCCATCTGTCTTATAACAGGAGCGGCTGAAAACCCAGGAATCCTCTTCTTCGAGCTCGCGTTCATCCCTAGGATACACAATGGAAGCTCAGTGCGTGGTAAGGCATTTAACAGGCAGTGGTCGTGCCTCAACCGGAACACGGGATCGTTGTGATGATCACAACGGGGGGGGGGGGAGTCGTATTTGACCGCGAGAGAGGGGAGTCGTATTCGGTCCGAGAATTTTTTTTGATAGTTGATTTTTCTTGCTTCGAGGACGCCATAAAGGGAAGGGGGGAGGTCACATTTGATCGTTGTTAGGAGAGAGACTAGTATTCCCGATAGTTGCAGATGATGGTTAAATATTGACGACCTCCCTCCCTCCCCCGCTCGACGGAAAATTCTTGGCTGAAAAACTGGAAATTTTTCGGGAAAAAATGGAAAAAGTGGTAGGAAGTTGGGAAAATCTAGGAAAGTGGTAGGTAGCATGGGAGGGGGGGGTCGTATTTGAGGATGGAATTAGGGGGGGGGTCGTATTCTTCAGGAAATGACCACAATGGCGATGACTGCCCTGGCCTCAACCCCTTAATACCTTGAAGTTGTTTTAATATAACAACTGCTGTTGAACGCAGCAGACTGCTGTGTGCTACGTGGCCACTCGAACTTGAACTGGTATCTCTTTCTTGAGCATCGTATCTTTCGGAGCACTAGCAGTTATGTTGACAGGAATTCACGAGAATGGCACCCCTTCCCTTAAGTGGAATAGTGCACCCACAAATTCACCAATAAGTGAATACAGTGCTATGAGCCGCAGGGTTGTTCCCATCCAGAGATCATTTCAGAGTATGAGTTATTTGGCCACCTTCCAAGAGGTTGGCCATATTTCTGATGACGGTTGAGGAGGTTATTGAAATAAGGTCTAGCACGCCAAATCTCGGACTTCGCTCAGGGAAGGAAAACGATTGAAAACTCTGTGAAGTGCAGAAAATACCGAAAGGTATTTCATCTCTCACTCTAGAGTAAGGTAAACATTCGGCTTTAGATCGTAATTACCGGTAGAGATTATGGAGACATTGCCGACAAGAAATACTTCAGTAATGTTGACATGCACAGTGATATGAATCGGGTGACAAGGATCAGCGTCAGTACACAATCGCACCCTAACAACATAGTGGGAAGAAATTATGTCAATTCAGCATCCGCTAGGATTGAAGCATCACATTAGAGGCCTACTGGGAGTGATTATGGAATTAAAATAATCAACGCACGCCAAAGTGGTGATTCGAGGTGCAAGGAAATTTTAAAAAAGGTGATCATGAGCGCAAGTGCGGAGAGAGTAACAAGTGCTGCATACTTAGCAATTTCGACTAACACTTATACTCATCCCAGAAATGTCTGTTGGCCGCTAGCGCTTACGAGTCACATCCAATATAGGAATGCCGACTCCGTTAGCAAGATTTTCAACTCTTAGCACAACTGCCACTAACCTCCGTCTCGCGGGCCACGGATCGAAAGACGCGCGACATTCTCTCAATTAGGCTGTGCGTCAGAGTACCCCACAAGCTTCGCAAAGCCAAGCTATTTTTGGCGTATATCTTGTTAGATTAACAATTTTTGCCCAACCCCCTGCTTATAAATAAGCTCGCTCCGGATCGTAAGCTAGGACATGACTGGAGGCAATCTACCGTCACCGGTTTTGTTCTGCCGTCAGCTGAGCACGCACGTGCTTCCAGAGTTTCGAATATTTTAAGTATATGAACAACGGACTTGCCCTACAAACACGATAGTTTTTCAGTGCCGTCGCTACTCGGCTAAGGAACAAGACACGTGCGTTCCATGCTCTGACGGACGTAGGCAGGTGTGAAACAGTTCTCTGCATCGCTTACTTACTTTGACTCATGCGGTCTGTTTAGCCATGAGGAGAGAGTGTGGTCAGAATTTTGTACCTTCAATTATTAACCTCAGTCAGGCTCGCAAAACAGAGAATCGAACTGGGTACAATTGCCTGACCCTGCCATGAAGATGGCGAACAGGACACACGAAACGTGACTATGACGAAGACAACGCCTCACAAGATCCTCCCATT